GTGTGAGTCTGCCAAGAATAACAGATAAGAAATAATTTCCACAACACAAGAGTCTTCAAATACCAATTTAAGATACTGTTATGTCCACGAGGCTGAGTTTCAAAATGTCTTTGCTTCCTGCAAAGAACATTTGTTTCACAGCTGGCTTTTATCTTCTTGAAGGAGGGGCCATTACCTTGCAGCCTTACTCCCGAGTTGCGCATGCTGCTGCAGCTGCTCTTTCCTACCAGCAGCCCTTTGCGCACATGCACGTGGCACGGGCTCCTCGGGAACCTCATCGCTGCCAGCCCCCACAATCTCTGAAGGCCGCAGTCCACCCCCCAATGGTCCTGGCCCCTCATCTGAATCCTCACTCTCCTCAGCCATCCACACCGGCTGCCAGCTAACCACAACCAGATGCTGCAATGGTCATCAGTGTGAAAAACAATCATAAGTTACTTTTTTTCAACGCTGTTGTAGCTTTGGTTACTAAATGGAACTGTTTTGAGGACTGCCTGTATTAAAATTGGGTCACCTATTAGAATTAATTTGCTGCAAGAACCAGGAAATTCTGCTTTTTTTAATGGTGCAATTTATGGATGTAACCAGTAACACTTCATTCTCCGAGACACGTCAACCAGACTTTCGCTGGGAGCAACATTTAAAATATTTTCAGACAATAAAGAAGGAAAATTGGACTTTCTTGCTGTCACATTCATCCAGCTCTTATCTCTGGGCTGAAAATGCTTTAACTCGAATACCCTTCTCCACCCCTAGTTTTTCTATTCCCAATACCGGCGCAACTGCATTCCATTTCCAAACTGGAGAAATAACTGTAATGAGTCTCTCCTAAAACAAACACACATCAAGTTAACTTCCTGATTCTAAGGCAAAGCGCCAGATGCCTGTCTTATAAACACACATTTCCTTGTAGCAACAATGATTTTTCTGCATGAGAGGCATCAAAGACAAGAAATTAAAGTCTTGCGGGGGGGGTTTAAATATGAAATGTCAGGTCTGAGGAAGGAAGCCCAACCTCACTAAGACATATTTCACTTTGATGGAAGCATTCAGTTATTCCAAATGGAATCAGAATCAGAATAGAGCTGGAAGGGACCTGAGAGGTCTTCTAGTCCAGCCCCTTGCTCAAGCAGGAGAACCTATATCATTCTGAACAAACTGCTGTCCAGTAGAAGGCAAAATGTTTGATTAGAAATTCTGGGCAGAATCTGGAAGCCTTACTTTATTTTATTTTATTTTAATTTTAAAAAGACTTTAATTGAAATTAAAATATTAAAATACAAATATATCTATACAAAAAAAAATAAGTTTGTACAATTCGCCATCATTCTTTGACAGTACAAAAATCTTAGCTCTACTCATACATTCCAAATATTCTAGTTTAGGGGTCGCCAACCTTTTGGACCTCAGGGACCACCAAACTCATAATTTTAAATCCCAGGGACCACTAACCAGTTCTGTGGGCATGGCCTAATTTGTGGGTGTGGCTTGGTGGTCATGTGACTGTCTGGGCATGGTTTGTATGTAAGTATTATAAATATTTATATAAATATGGAATTTTTCATTAAAAAGAGCAACTTTTACCCAAAATCAGGAAAAGCAGGCAGGCAGATTGACTTGCTCACAGAATCAGTCAGTGATCTATCTATCTGCCATCAGCTAGCTCAGTCTGTCACATAAAATTTGCTTGCCGTGAGTCTGCACTGAATAATAGAACCTTCAGTCCTAAGGCAGGTTCAGCTGTGCTTAAAAGCGGAGCCAAAGATCTAAAGACTAGCTAGAAAGCAAGAAATCCAATCATGTCCTGCTTCCTAGCTAATCTAAATCTCCCAGCACAGCAAAACAGCTGATGATCGGAAAAAGGAAAAATAGCAACTTAGCAGGCAAGTTTGCAGGGTAAGGAGTGAGTGGGCAGGGAGGGTTCCCGCGGGCCATGTGGGCAGTGCAGACTTGTGTTTCTGCGCAGCCTGGATTAATTGCTCTGGGGGTGAAATTTCTCTTGCAGCCCACCAAAATTTTCTCAAGGCCCATCGGTGGGCCACAGCCCACCAGTTGACAACCGCTGTTCTAGTTAATCATATACATATATAGAGTTTATATCTTATTCTAACCTATACATTTCATATTCCTACTATCTATCCATTGATACCAGTTATCCCAAATCGAGTAATATTCTGAGTCTTCCTTATTATTTAATTCTATAGTGAGCTTATCCATTTCTGCACACTCAAATTTTTTTCCGGATTATTAAACAATCTGTCGGTATAGTGACCATTTTCCAAGATTGTGCTAGTGCAATTCTCGATGCCGTGATAATATGTATTGTGGTGGTCTGGCACTTGAAATGAGACGCAGGGAAACGTCTGAGCAAATGCCAGCCCCGAGTAAACTCAGGTAGCAGTATTTATTAAGAAAGAAATCAAAAGTACAGAATCAATAACAAATAACCTCAACCGAATGAGAATATGCAGCTGTGGAAAGTCCCATGAGAATATACAGGCACGAAAGGTCCCATGGGAATGGCTCGGCTGTGCACCATGAACTTTCACCTATATTCCTGGTCCTTTTAAGCTTTGCAGATCAAAACAGGATGAAACACCCATTGCAAAGGCAAATACTGCCCCCACCAGGAGTGTTTGCAAACCCTAGATCTATGCAATAGCTGTACAAAGGATTTACAGAAAATGATGAATAAGATATATTACCACATGTATCATCGAATATTTAATCTTTTTGGTGTAATCTTCCCCTTAACAATCCCCAGAGGAAACAGTTCAGGTGGAAGCCTTCCTTTAATTCAGTTGCTCTACAACGATTATTTTAAGGATTATTCTTGACTTCAAATGTTGTTAAAAAAAGACCGCAATGTGGGCAAAATTCGCTTAGCTACTGTCTCGCTTAGCAACAGAAATTTGGGGGCCAATTGTGGTCGTAAGTCAAGGCCTACCTGTGGTTCATTTTAACCTTGGGACAAAGAGGGTGGACGAGGCATGAAAATATCTTAGTTGTAGTTCATGCACTTGAGTTTGCATTAGATTGGGAAAAGATTTCCAAATACCTGTTACACTGATCATAAATCAGCATGGCAGCTTATCTTTTCTGCTTGTCACACAAGGTGTGTCAAGTATAGGTACATGAGTGAGAGAAGTAAATAAAGCAACTTCAATTACACACCATGTAGGGGACTTGGTACTTTCTGAGCTTAGTGGTTTCCTCTTGCACACATTTCATTACCCTGGTAGGTAACATCATCAGTGCTACCGTAGAAGGGATTGGGGTTTGCTCTCTGTAAATATACAGGGCTATAAACAGAGAGCCCCCACCCCTTCTAGCACTGATGATGTTGCCTAGTTGGGTAATGAAACGTCTGCAAGAAAGCAACCAAGCTCAGAGAGCAGCAAGGACTCTCCCAGTTCAACTCTGACCGACAAATGTTTTCTTCTGTCTGCATAGTGTACATATATTTTACTAATTATGTAGCATGAAGTCAGTCCCAACTCTTAGTAACGACATAGATACAGATCTTCTCCCAGGGCAGTTTGTCCCCAACCTTCTCCTTCGGATCTTCCAACGGACCAGTTGTGCTCACTGTGGCTGCAATTTACTTTTTCCATCTTGCTGCTGGTCATCATTATCTTTTTCTTTCTTTCTTTCTTTTTCTTTCTTTCCTCCCTCCTTTTCTTTTTCTTTCCTCCCTTCTTTCTTTCTTCCCTCCCCCTTTTCTTTCTTTTGTTCCTCCCTATTTTTTTTCTTTCCTCCTTCCCTTTCTTTCTTTCCTCCCCTTTTCCTTTTTTCTTTCCTTTCCTTTTCCTTCCCTTTCTCCCACCATTTCTTTCTTTCTTTCCTCCCTCCCTCTTCTTTAATTTCTTTTTTTTCTTTTCTCTTTTCTTTCTTCCCTCATGCTTTTCTTTTTCTTTCCTCCCTCCCTTTCATTCTTTTCTTTCTCTTTCCCCCCTCCTTTTTCTTTTTGTTTCCTCCTCCCTCCTTCCTTTCTTTTGTCCCTCCCCTTTTCTTTCTTTCTTTTTCTCCCCCTTCTCCCACTTTCTTTCTTTTTCTTTCTCTTTCTTTCTTTCTTTCTTTTCTTTCTTTCTCCCTCCCTTTCTCCCACCTTTTCTTTCTTTTTTTCTTTTCTTTCTTTCTCCCTCCCTTTCTCCCACATTTTCTTTCTTTCTTTCTTTCTTTCTTTCTTTCTTTCTTTCTTTCTTTCTTTCTCTTTCTTTCTTTCTTTCTTTCTTTCTTTCTTTCTTTCTTTCTTTCTTTCTTCCTTTCCTTTCCTTTGTTTCTTTCTTTCTCCCTCCCTTTCTCCCACCTTTTCTTTCTTTCTTTCCTCCCTCCCTCCTCCTTTCTTTTACTTTCTCTTTCTTTCTCACTGTTACAGCTTTCTCAAGGATGTGCCCGAAAATATAACCATTTCCACCGGATCATTGCGTCGGAGAACTCTTTTTGAGTTCCTCTTCTTTTGACGATCCATTGCTTCCCCCCCCGCCCCGCCCCCATCTTCTCAGGCGTCAAAGTCCAAAAGGCTCTTCCAAACCCTCTTTCGCTCCTTAACCAACTCTCTCCCTTTAGCGACATCGCTTTGGGGGGCGGGGGGGTTGGCTCCATTGGGGCCGTAAGCCGAGGACCCGCCCGTACCCGTCTTTCACTCTAGGAACGGTCACCCCAAATCAAGTAGGAGCGCTCCCCAAAATCCATCCCCGACGAGCAGCAGCAGCAGCAGCAGCAGCTCGGAGCGCAAAACGAAAGGAAGGGCCGGCGGTGGGGAGGAGGAGGAGGAGGAGGCGCGTTACGTAGCGGGGCGGCGGGGGGGGGCGGAGTCTCCGTTCGGAGTTCCAGGAGGGGCGCGGCGGGCGTCCTCCCACTGCTCTCCCATTGGCCGGGAGGAGCCGAGAGGCGGGGCTGCCGAGCCGGGAACACCGGCCGAGCCCAGCCCAGCCCAGCCCAGCTGAGCTGGGCTCGCCTGCCTTTTCCCCCCGCCCCCGCCCCCCCCACCCTCCGCCAGAAAGCAAAGACCCAACGACTCCAACCAAGTTTCCCAATTCCAGGGGCGGCTCGGTCCGCGCCGTCCAGCCCCAGCCGAGCGCAGGTGAGCCCGCCGGTGGAGGCGGCTTTCCAGGTGCGTTTCCAGGTGTGTTTCCGCGGGCGTGGCCAGGCGATGGAGGAAGAGGGGGGGCGGTGTGGTGATGGGTGGGGTGGGGGGCGAGGGGGAAGAAGCCGCTTTCCCACCTGCAAACTCGCCGCTTCCAGTGGCCGATCGGATCTCCGCGTCCTCGGCGGCTTTCGGGACAACTTATTTTTTTGGGGGTGGAGAGTGGAAACTTGCACTCCCAAGCTGGCTTCCCCAAGCTGACGCTCGCCGGATGCATTTCAGGGATTCCTTTTTCTAACAGTATCCCAACTGGAGAAATGCCCTCCAACTCTTGGGGTGGGGTGGGGTTTCCAATAGAAGCTTTGGACTGCCCACCTGTCAGAAAAATGGTGTAGTAGAGCCTCCTGCTTGGGCAGGGGGGGTTGGACTAGATGACCCACAAGGTCCCTTCCAACTCTTCTTCATCTAAAGCGGCCGGAGCGGCGGCGACTCCTTTCCTTCCCTGGGTCGAGCTGGCTCAGAGCGATGGGAGTTGGGAGTTACTGGAGAGGATGGGAGCACTCCGGGGTTGAAGGGTACGGCGGAGCGGTTCCGCGCCTCGGCCGGGCTTTGGACGGGACGGTAAACCATGGTTGGCCAGGAAAAAGGGTGTATTCACTTGGGACCGGGTTTCACACGGCTCCGGGAATCCAGAAAGACACCACCCCGGGGTCGGAGACTTGTAAGCGACTCCGATTCTTAAACTGGATGCGATGCGCAATTTTCTAACCGCGGATTACGTTGACGGCTTTCAGTTTTTAAATAGCTGTAATTTTGCGCACAGGCTGGGTTTTTTTTTTTTTTTAGCATATATATATATTTATTGTTTACATATAAATATACTGAATACAGTCTAATTGGCCAGGGCATTCCAATTGCCATAAAACAGAAGTAAAAACAGAATAACATCTATGCAAATGTATACATACAAATGTTTGTACAGAAATTTCTGACCATCATGTAATACCTTAGCTCCTCTATCATTCTAATACTTACATTCTTCTATCAATAATACAAATAGTGTCTCTTTCCAAGTCCTCCTCGCCTCATTCTTTCACTTTCAAATTTCTACTGCCTGTTTCTAACCATTGATAAAACCTATTCCGTGTTGAATAGTATTTGGTATCTGCTTTATCTTTTATTTTTAGTGCTAGTTTGTCCATTTCCGCACAGTCTAGTATCTTCCTTGTCATCTCATACTCTAATGGAGTGTTTTCGTTCTTCCACTGCTACGCATATACAATTTACATGTAATTTCTCTATATCTCTATCTCTGTCTCTATCTCTATCTCTATCTCTATCTCTATCTCTATCTCTATCTCTATCTCTGTATGTCTATCTATCTATCTATCTATCTATCTATCTATCTATCTATCTATCTATCTATCCATCCATCCATCTATCTATCTATCTCTCTATCTCTCTATTTCTCTCTCTCTCTCTCTTTGCAAAATACCACTCACGCATCATCACAAAATCTCCAGAACCGTAAAGCCTACAAACTTGAAATTTGGCACTATGTTCCTCTTGGCTTCTAGGTGCTCACTAAGAAAGGATTTTTCGAAATGACCATCAGAGCATTAGTATTTCGTACATTATTATTACTAACATTACTAGCTCTGATGCTAAGGAGTTCTACTCCCCCTCCCCACCTGAAAAGAAATCTCTTCCAAATGCAAAACACAAGCAGAGGAGAGGAGTTTCAGTTTTAGATTGACAGCACCAAGCAGCTTCAGAACAGAACAGTTCAGCTAAGCCATGCCCAGGCTCCTTGCTGTCTCCTTGCTCACACAGCAAATACTGTGTCAGTTTCCAAACAGCCCTCAACTTTCTCACACACTGACAGGACACTAGCCAGATGAATACTTGATGGATGCTGGTAGGCAGAGGCATATTTCCCGCCCCCTTATTTTCCTCCCCCAAAACCAAGCCAGATCACATACTTTCGTAGCGAAGCACAGGTATCTAACTAATATTAAATATATTGTCCCTTTGTCATAACCCTCTGATGTGATACCTAGTAAAAACAGTTCTGGTTTGAAATCTATATGGTTTTTTTGGTCTTTTTTGTTTTAGCCACGCATGTATTTGAGTCCAAAATTTCCTTGCCTTTATGCAGGTCCACCACATGTGGTAATATGTACCAGGTAATTGTTGACATTTCCAACAGGTTGGGGACATATTTTTATACATTTTAGCTAATTTTGCTCGGGGCAAATGCCATCTATAGAACATTAGCGCACAGGCTGGTTTTTAAAAGCTGCTTTGGAGGTTCTTTGAAATTGTTTTTGGATGGACTGGGTTTTCTGAAGGGTTGCTGGTAATTTATTATCCATTTGTTGGGTTTATATTCCACTTTTTCTATGGAACATGAAGAGGGGTGGGATTCCTTGTTTTAAAAATCTCAGTCCAACCCTAAAGAGAGCGATTGAGTCAAATGACCTGGGATCCTCCCTAAACACCTTCTCTGTTACAGGCAGTCCTCAAATCTATGTCAACCCTTGAACTCAACGTTTCTAAACGAGACAGGTGTTAAGTGTGTTTTGCCCCACTTTGTGACCTTTCTGGCTACCGTTGTTAAGTGAATCACGGCAGTGGTGAGGTTATTATACATGGTTGTTGAGTGAATTTGGCTTCCCCATTGACTTTGCTTGCCAGAAGGTTTGTAAAGGTGATCGCATGATCACAGGATTCTGCAGCCATCATAAATGTGAGTCAGCTGCCAAGTGTCTGAATTTTGATCATGTGAGCATAGAATCAGCATTGGAATAGGGACCTTGAAGGTCTTCTAGTCCAGCCTGAGATGACCCAGGGTGGGATACAAAACAAACACAGTCACAGAAAACAAGTGAAGCCCCTTTTATTCCTCCACTTTGCTTCTAAGCTCTGAATATTCTTGACAGAAGCCAAAAAAACCTCCCACACAAACAGTTACAAGAAGAAGGAAAAAAAGCAACACAAACCAGGCAAGATAAGGGCTGGAGGATGTCCACAGATAACACACACTGGGAAGGATGCCAAACTCAGAGAGGAACCATAAACTAGAGATATTTCCACACTTTGTTTCCAGCGTTCACCTGTACGCATGTCCATCTTCTTATCCAGTTGTCACAGCTGCAGCCCATGAAGAGGATCAAGGCCCTCTCCTCCCTAGTAGACCACCTCTCTACCTTATCCTCTTCTCCTTGCGTGCCCTAGGATGGCCTGGGTCCTCCTCTGACTGCCCAGCCGGCCTCTGCCCTTCCCCAGCCTCCTCCACAACCTCCGGAGCCACACTTCCACTCCCTGTCAGCTGTTCCTCCTCTCCCTCAGAGTCAGTCTCCACCACGGGCATGACATGACCCCTGCTCATGCAACAGACCCTATACCATTCAGTCAGACAAGTGACTGTCCAGTTTCTTCTTAAAAACCTCCAGTGATGAAGCATCCACAGCTTCTAAAGGCCAGCTGTTACACTGGTTAATTGTCCTCACCGTTAGGAGTGAAATTAATTTCTCCTTAATTCCAGGTTGCTTCTCTCTCGTTGATTAGTTTCCATCCACTGTTTCTTGTCCTGCCTGCAGGTGCTTTGGAAAATAAGTTGTCCCTTTGCTCTTTATGGCAGACCCTCAAATGCTGGAAGACTGCTATCATGTTCCCCGCTAGTCCTTCTTGTCTTTAGAGTAGCCAAACCCAAACCCTGCAACCGTTTTTGATATGTTTTTGTCTTCAGGTCCTTAAGCATCTTAGTTGCTCTTCTCTGAACTTTTTCCGAAGTGTCAACATCTTTGTTTTTGGAATGGGATGACCAAAACTGGATGCAGTATTCCTGATGTAGTCTTACCATGGATTTATAAAGAGATAATGCTGCAGTGGTCATAAGTATGAAAAATGGTCACGTCCCTTTTTTCAATAGTATTTTCAAACAGTCACTAAAGGAATAGTTGTAAGTCTAGGATTAACTGGAATAATATTATTAATCTATTAATTACTGGTGTGTAGGGTTTTTTTTTTTGTTTAATCACGATATATTTCTGTCCTGGATTCCCTGAAATAATCAAGGTAACATTGAAAACGAGCTGGGGCATTGAAGAAACCCCTCAGAAGGCAGAGCTTTGGTACTGTTGGCAAAAAACAAAAAAAAACCCTCCATGGGTGCATCTTCAGGATGAGAATTTGAAGAAAGTACTTTTGTCTCCTTCCCTGCCTGAACAGGAGGTTGGACTAGAAGACCTCAAAGGTCCCTTCTGACTCTGTTATTCTGAATCATGCCAGGGTAGTTGACTAACTCAGTTTTCACCCGCTGTCTAAATAAATGTAAGCAAATGGATCTAGACAATACACTGTTCACGAAGCACTTGTGTATGTAAACTGAAAATGTATAAATAAACTGTTAAAAAAAAGATAGGGAACAAAACAGCCACAAGATTATATACATAGTAAACAGCATTTCTCCCCTCTTCCTTCAGATGGGACATTGGAAACGCAAAGTCTGGGCATATCTAAACATACCTAAACTCTGACGCAGTGGCTCAGTGGCTAAGACGCTGAGCTTGTCAATCAGAAAGGTTGGCAGTTCAGCGGTTCGAATCCCTTAGCACCACATAACAGAGTGAGCTCCCGTTCCTTGTCCCAGCTTCTGCCAACCTAGCAGTTCGAAAGCATGTAAAAATGCAAGTAGAAAAATAGGGATCCTTTTGGTGGGAAGGTAAAGCGTTCCATGTGCCTTCAGCGTTTAGTCATGCCGGCCATATGACCACGGAGACATCTTCGGACAGCGCCGGCTCTTCGGTTTTGTCACGGAGATGAGCACCGCCCCCTAGAGCCAGAAACAAACAGCACATATGTGTAAGGGGAACCTTTACCTTCCTTTAAACTCTGAAAAAAGTTTCTAGGAAGTTTTGTATTCATGTTCGAAATTGTGATTGTGATGTCTTTCATCGTCCAAATGATGGCGACCTGCTTATGATGTCACAACATTAAAGAATTCCAGGTCTATCTGGGCTTAAAAGTATACATTT